GATTGCTGCTCGCCAGCGTTGAGTGATGTCGTACCTTCCAAAGTTCGTAATGCTATATATAGTTGGTTTATCGCAGTTAGTCGGGGCGGTGTCAGGAGGGGGGAATGAGCTCGCTTTCCTCACCAGTAGTGCAGTGTAGCGATCGTTAGGGATTGAGGTAGGAACAAATTAACCTTCAGTGAAATCATCGCGAGCGGGCTCATCTCAGACTCCTAACTTGGTGCGAAATGATTGTGACGATATCAACTGTGACCTATCGCTGAATCTGCGTTCACTTCGCGGCAGCGTCCACCAGCGACAAATAGCGTCGAGTAGCGTTCCGAGCGTCCGGCAGCGTCAGCGACTAGGAAAGTATGGATATCGATCTAGCGTCTACCAGCGCCTGCCAACGTGTACCAGCGGCCACCAGCGTCCAGGAGAGCATGGGGCAATAGCTGTGTACCAGCTGTCTGCTACCCTCCTATCTGCCCATACTCTACCAGCTGTCTGCTACCCTCCTATCGCCCCATGCTCTCCACCACTGGACGCTGCTGGTCGCTGGTAGACGCTGGCAAATGCTAGACTGATACCTATACTCGCTTGCACTGCCGAACGCTCAGAACGGTGGTGGGTGGACGCTGCCGCAAAGTATAAACGCATCTTGGCGAAACTTTTACTGAAGGCGTGATAGTGAAAAGGGCGGAGACACCTTATCACTGATTCCCACCTCCTTCTGATGTGATGCGTAGGAAAGGTACTATAACGAAGGAGGAACAACAGTCATGATTATTAGCCCATTCCACTACTACTCATGCGGTCGGTCCAGTCGGTACTATTCCTGCTCCTGTAAACGAGTATATCAAGTAGTTAAACATAGTCATAAACCAATCACGTCAAAATACCTTATATGATCCACGACTGTACGGAGGGGGGGGCGTTTGATTGTGCTTGTCTCAGCGGCGCAAACTCGGTAAAGCTCTAAACAGAAGGGAACGCTAATGTGAAAGTCAAAATGGTCAGCTACACTTGAACGTCGGCTGTCGCTCTAGAATACTGTAGGACTTTTAGTCCTGCACAACCGAATCGACAGGGCGTGTCAGCGTTTGAGACGTTGTTTTTGAAGCGGCTCGATTGTCTCTAGCAATCACGGTCTGGAAAATGAGCTAGCGGGCCAAGATCCACCTCACACTGACACGAATGCTGCTTCGGTCGTTGAAATTTCATTCCATCTCAGATATCTGCTCAATGCTCTCCATCTCGCAACTCAACCGATGAATTCTCGGAAAACTCACCGTTGGAATGTGTCAAAGGTGTTTGTGCATGTCGCGCTGGGTATAGTCACATCGAGGGCGAATGTAAACGTAAGTTTCTTGGACAGTATGAAATAAGAGGACTCACTGAAGATACCAACTGACCAGGGAAGTCCCCAACTTACCACTGAATGGAGTATAAAGTTATTAACAAATATAGGTAGCAAAATTACAAAGTGTATTTCACAGACAACTTATGAGCAGGTAAACTTTGTAATGCTGCGGTAGGGTGGAGGCTTGGTGGTGAGCTGTGAAGCATAAGCGAGGAATCGCATACGTCGAATCGAGTCATGGGGGGGGGGGGGGGGGTTTTTTTTTTTTTCATTGTACGGGTTCGCCGTGTGCGATTCTCTGCCTTATTCTTCACAGCTCACCACCAACCTCCTCCTACTTGCACTATTGGCAAGCTTTTGGCCTGCTCCCGCCGCTTGTGAAATGCAGGTTGCAGTTCTGTTATCTATATTTGTAAATAACCTTATAAACTCTATCGATCTACCTGGGTCTCCATTCAAAGTTTCCTGGTAAGTTGGCGGACTCCCCCGGTGAGCAAGAGTGAAGCTGCCCTCCCGCCCACTTTGACGCCGTCTTCGGCTCACTCTTGGTTTTTCTTTCGACGCTGTATCGGTTAGCGCTGCATCCCAAACGCAGAATAATGTTCTCTACGATAAAATCGAGCTATCCCTGAGCCTCATGATTTATACGATCTTCTTTCGAGAAATTGGCAATGAGAACCTCGTTCACAAACACCTTTATTGGTGAGCTTTCGCTGTCTTAACAGCTTCGTCAGACCTTAAATGAAATCAAGTATACATGGTATTACAATTCCTAACAACTAAGTTGCTCGAAATACAAACCAGGTTGACCTGCCCGTCAACGGCAATTTGGTTAGAGTCTGTAATACAATTCCTAATACAATGTCAAGAGTGCAACTGTAAACAATCAAACTACAACGGATGACCAGCTTACCCCAGTGTTTAAGACAGCAAAGCTCACAATAAAGGGTTTGTGAATCGAGTTCATTGCCGAGTTTCTCGAAGAATGTTCTCTGTGTTGTGGCCATGGATAGCTCTTCCCTCATAAGCAGTACATGTTCTCTTTACGAGCACATTTTGTAGATCTTGTCATGCTCTAGTTCCACTTTAATTGTATTCATTTTTCAACTGGCCTAAAAACAAAACCTTAGGTTTTACCTGAGATAAGTACAAATCAAGACGTCATCATCGCTGAACAGAACGCAATTTACTGTACCACTTTTTGATGTGTGCCATGATTTTCCCTGAAATTTGTTCTAACAGATGAACTTGACTAACTTGACTAGAATCCAGGGTCTGCAGGCGGTCGTGCAAAAAACTTGTCTTGGGCAAAGTTCATATTTTGCGGCAGCGCCCACCAGCGACCATCAGCGTTTCGAGCGTCCGTCAGAAGCGAATGGGAAATTATAGTTAGTGATCTAGCGTCTACCAACGTCTACCAGCGTCCACCAGCGTCTGCCAGCGACTATCTGTCTCGAGGGACTAGGAAAGTATGCATATTGATCTATTAGGTTGTCCGGAAAGTTCTCAGCGTTTTGGGTGTTTCACTTTAAACGATCGTAACTTTTTTTAATACTCATCGGATTTAATCGAAATAGGCACCATTCGAATCAGCACACTTTTGCCAGTGTGACAGCAGTCGAGAAATCCCATCAAAGTAAAAAACTGGGTGGTCGAGAGTTCACGAAATCCACGAAGGCTTTTTTGCCTGGTCCTGATTGATGAAGTATTTTCCAGCAAGGGAGTTCTGAAAATGTTAGAAAAGGTGATAGTCGGTTGGCGAAAGGTCTGAAGAATATGGCGGTTGAGGTAGAACTTCAACCCCCAATTCGTTCAATTTATGGATAGTGATTTGTGAAACGTGTGGGCGGGCGTTGTCATGCAAAGGAATCGGACCCTTTCTTTTGATAAGTGTGCTGCATCTGACATTCTGGTCGACAATCACGATTCTTCACACTAAGGTTCTGTGTGATGGTATGGCCTGGTGAGAAAAGTTTATAGTGATCCCACAGCCGATGACCACCAAGCCGTGACCAGAATCTTTTTTCGTGAGGGTTCGGCTTTGAAAATTACCTCGGTGGTTCGTCGAAATCCAACCACTGTCCGGAACGTCTCCTGTTATCATACATGACCCATTTTTCATCACAGGTGACAATTCGGCCCAAAACAGGTCGTTTCTGCTGCGCAAAAGCAATGCAGAGGACTGGAGACGTGCCGATTCCTGCTGGTCACTCCGATTGTGGGGCACCCAATTGTCGAGTTTTTTCACCTTCCCAATGCGTTCCAGACCATCTGCAACAGTGGATTTGCCAAGGCCTAGCTCTCTTCTGCTATCTCTCGAACTGTTTGGGATGGGTCAGCCTCCGAAATCCCCCTAAAATCCTCGTCAGATATTGCTTTAGGTCGACCGCTATGAGGTTCAACCTTCAAGGCTGAAATCTCCAGAACGAAATTTGTTGAACCATTGCCGCACAGCTTTCTCTAGCACTATTGGGCCCCCACACCTGGTTAATTTGTTGAGCTGTTTCGATTGCGGATTGCCCCAATTTATAGTCGAAGAAAAAATCGTCCGAAGTGCTCTTTTCACATGCTTGAAAAATCTTGAAAAAAGGGGGTTTATCAAGCAATGGTGAAACGGCAATTATACCATCAGATAGCGCAAGAAATTCTCTACAGGATGTGCTACTGAGAAGCAAGGCAGAATGAGTTTTAATCAGCAGTGAATGTACAAAAAATAGGTGCACAAAACGCTGAGAACTTTCCGGACAACCTATACCATCAGATAGCGCAAGAAATTCTCTACAGGATGTGCTACTGAGAAGCAAGGCAGAATGAGTTTTTAATCAGCAGTGAATGTACAAAAATAGGTGCACAAAACGCTGAGAACTTTCCGGACAACCTAATAGTTGGTTACGAGCGTCCAGCAGGGACCAGTAGTAGATAGTCTAGGGACAGAGGGTCAGCTGCTGGTAGAGTATGAGACAGGTAGTAAGGGAGGACACAGCCTGATTAGGCGTCGGAGTGCGTGTGCGGCGCACAGTATACTATACATAACGTACTCCGTCGTAGTGACAGTGGTGACGCTGATTACTGTTGGCGTGAGCTAGATCCGTATCTATACTTCATTTAATCGCTGATGGCTGACGGAATATTTGAAACACTTGAGGTCGCTGCTGCCGCAAAGTATGAAAGCAGCCTTGATGTTCGGGATTTTGAAAAAAATGCAGTGAATAATAGTTCAAGCTGATTTCTCCTATATTATGTACGTTTTTCAAGGAGTAATGTGCACAGTCGGTCTACGTGGTGAGCCATCAGTGGACAGGAACAATCAGCTGATTCGGTGTACTCGATCTGATGACTGCTCCCAAGGGCAGATGTGTGATCCGAATACGCATGTCTGTTGCAAGGGCACGAATAGTGAGTGATTATGAAGTACCTGCAACTTCCCTGCTGGTTCCAGATAGCGCTTGAGCAACCTAGTTGAAGACAACTCTTGAGTTTCATGCACAGTGGTGCTCAGTTATAAACCTGCATCGCTCAGTTGTCCGACTCTCGCAACCGGTCGCTCGGCTGGGGATCCTCCACCACCGCCGGACCTGCTGGGAACGCGACCCACGGCGTCGAAATGGCTGTGACTGATTCCAGCGCGAAAACCAAATATTCGAAAACTAACCAACTGAAATCCTCCGTATCAGACATAGAATATCCCAACCCTCTTTCATCCATTTTCTCGTGAATTAGAATCTGAACTGAGCGGGAGCAACCATACCGGGGCGAAAAAACCTGAGGCCCTCGGTACACATGGAAGCTTGTTAATTAACTGTGGAAGCTAAGGAGTATGCCCGGAAAGCGGCAACGTGCAAGCAGTCGCATCCAGAATATTTAAAAGAAGAAAAGCCATCCACAAAATACACTTCTCAAGCTTCTCTTTTCAGGATGTCCGAAAGGATACGTAGAGACCGGTACAATGTGTGAGAATGGTAAGTGTCAGCGTCCTGGCAGTCTCTGTTTTAGAGCCAAGACAGGGAAAGAGAAGCTGTGCTGCGTGGAAGAAAACTAAGCAGCTGTTATCGTCGAAGAAATTGATCAGTGCCAATATGAAACGTGTTCTGCCGAGTAATGTACATTTTGTAAACGTCTGCCCTAAAGTTGCAATCAGTAATATGATTTCAATTCATTCTGGAAAGTTTTTTCCCTGTAATCACAGCGACCATGTGATATGTATTTAATAATAAGTATGAGTAGTTAACCTCAATAAACTGTTGGATATTTGCCGTCACAAATTCAAGATAGAATGTTGTTCTAAGGACTCCAGCCCCACTAAGACACGATCGCTAGTTGGGAATCCTCACAGATTCATATTTCACGATTAGATGCGTCGCCGCGCGTCGACTGTGTGATTAGGCGATGCCTATCCTCCTATTACTCTATATTTTCTCGAGACACTAGCGGCGGGTGCAGACCGGTACAAGCCCGTACCATTAGAGCGCTGTTGCAAGGGTAGCGCGTTGCAGCGCGTCAACAGGCGTCGTAGAGAAGTGAGAACGCTGCCTCTCGTAGTTATGTATAGCGAGTGAGCATCTCACAGTCAACATGGATTCGAAATGGTCTTGCAGCAGTAACTCTATTGTTGGACAGTTATGAGGTCTGTCCCATATGTGGAAGGTCAAAGGTACAGGACCTTGATGTCGTTACTACTTAGCATGTAATTAACAATGCCCTCTGCGCACGTCAAGAACGTTGACGGAAGTACATGTTCACGAGGGAATCCGACGATTTCGGAAAAATCGGCTACGAACCCCCCTAGCCGTTGACATCTTCATTACTGATTCATAACTTTGGGATTCACTGTAACCTTGTACCTCGGGAAAGGTGCCGAGCCTAGCAGCCTTGAAGCCGGCAAGACAACATTCCGTTGAAGAAGATGGCCTGACGTCGCGCCAAACCTAACCCCTCCCCGCCTGAGACACCCTAGTGTTTGCAGCAGATGACTACAGCTTGTGAACTTCTTGCTGGGCAGGGGTGACTTCCGAACTTGAACAGCGCTGAAAGGGCAGCCTGCTACTGTCCAAGTTCCGTTTGTGCAATTCGTTAACACAAACGATGGAACGGATGTTGATTCTTCAGCTGCCAGCGGAGTTACGTGCGCGGCATTCACACCAAGCCTAATGGGTTCAAGGAAGATGTGTCAAGCCTGCTAGTTAGTTGTCGCTGCAACATGGATCTCTTAACCTGGAGCCAATAACATTAGTCTCAACGAATAATCAATCAATTTATTCTTCTTTCTTAGTCTTAAACCCGTCATCAAAACAAAAAAAACATCAAAAAGAATCCACACATTCTTATCGAACAAGGCTAAAAAATGGTAATATTACATCATCCACGTCAAATCGATAATGTAGAGGTCAGGAGTGTTCACATTGTTCAGGCTTTAAACTATATTTTTATTTACAATAAACGTGCACGCCCAAACTAATCAAATTGATCTGCTACATTAGGACCTTTCTATTATGCCGGTGTCTAACGAGTTTCCAAACGATGAGCCCTGTTTCATCGAAAAAGCGGTGAGCTGCAGTAGTAAAGCATGGCTTCATGATGTACTAAACAGATATGGGTGACTTTCGTCGATCCACCATGTCTTCTGGGGGAGCTGGATCGCAGATCGACGGATTGTAATAGAAGAAGGCGAATGTATACTCGAGACGACCCTTCTCAATGGTCATATCGACATAGCCTGAAAAAAAATCCATAATAGCGTATTGCAGAACATCAAAGTACTTTTGAGGATGGGTCTACTAACTCACCTACCCTTGTTTACCCGACTTCTCAGCACTTTTCTGTACCCTGAATAAAAGATTCCACTCAAACGGAGGGTACTATGAGTACGTCTTTAGTTCCACCTCCTAGTCACTCTTCTAGAACTAGGAGATGGGACTGAAGGCGTACTCATAGTGCCCCTTCGAGGGGAACTTGTTAGAGGAGGCAGAAAAGTGGTAATCATAAGTGGGGTAAACATGGGTGGATGATGGGTAGGGGAAAAAGGAGTCGTAGCGTAGAAGAAATTGGGGGAGATCGTTCGACGTTGTCATTTCTCCTATCCCTATGATGTCCCAGGCTATCTCAGATTAGATTCCTGTGAAATCTCGCCAAATTCGGAAAGCTGTAATTTCACTTCGATATTGAAATCATAATCCCGCACATGAGCGAGAAATGCGCGCACACTTACAACACTGTATCATCCTAAGGCAGCGTTCAGACTTCGCGACAGCAGCGCTTCGGTCGCGCGTTCGAAGCGATCGATGCGCATGCTTTCGACTGCATTGATCGCGTCGAACGCGTCCGAAGCGTCTGCAGTCGCGAAGTCTAAACGCTGCCTAATTGTGGCTTCTGCGCGGACGGTAAAGGAAAGGCATCTCAGTACTTTCCCGTACCGTATGCGTAGGAAACGCCGCTTCAAGGCACAGCGGTCAACTGTCTCCGCTCAGCAGATCATGGCGCAATTTTCGCGTTTTCAAGAAAAGATGACGCAGCTTTCAGCTATTTGCAGATTTGACCTGATATGTGATATGATTCCTCCCCCCCCCCAAACGGCGCAGTTATGTTTAAGGGGG